AGCAGGGGGAGTGGGAGAGGGAAAAGCAGGCTTCCCACTGAGCAGAGAGCCCGATGTGGGGCTCAATCCCAGGACCCTAGGATCATGACCTGAGCCGAAGGCAGTCGCTTAACCAACTGAGCCACCCAGGCGCCCCCATGGGCTATAGTTTGCCAATCCCTGGTTTAGACTAAATTTATTATATAACTAAAAGATATTTTAAAAAGGATATTGAAAAGTATACTTAAGAAATAAGTATATGGAAAAATTAATCTTTCCTATTAACCAACTAATTAAATAAGTAGTAGCCTCTGGGGCCTTGCTTAGAATATTCTGGACTCTGGCCATATCATTCGAGATCAAACGCCCATCACAGTGGAAATAATCCAGTCACCTTGGCCATGTTGGTGCTGACCATTGACCTTCCCAGCAACAAAGTCACACAGCCATCCCGTGTGGGAGGAGTCTAGTGCCTTCGCAGCTGACTCACTGAATCAAGGTTCAGTGGCCTCAGAGGTAGCTCCTGACCATCCCCAGATACGGTGTTGCCTTAAAACAAAGCCGCTGGCCATAGCCTCAGCCAGGCTGGGCTGTGATGTGGGGAGAAGGGGGGCTCGGTGGCACTGAGCACACGTAGGAGAGGTTTTGTTCTGCGGGACAGGGCACCTACCCTGGCAAGTAAAGATAGAACACTGACTGGGCCAAAGCCAACTCAGCCCAAGGGCTGGGGAGGGGTTTGGAAGAGCCTCTGAGGGACCCCTTGCAGAGGTGATCAGGCCCTGTGACTGTCACGATGCTATGTCTCAGCCCTGGCCCCAAGGGCTGCCAACACTCACTCAGCAGCTGAGAGGAACCAGGGCTGAGCTGTTCCCAGCCCCCACAGTCCCGCACCTTGGTGTTTTTCTGGATCAGGAGACTCCAACTCTGCAACAGAGAGGGGGCCGATTGTACGTATGACTCATCACGGCTGACAGAAAATTGAGATTTCCACTGTGACTATTTCTTTAGGAGGCAAGTGCATGATCAGGAAGCATGGTTAATGGAACTCAATATTAAGTGATTATCTTCATGGTTTTTTCCATCCTGGAAATGCGAACAGCAATAAGGCCAACATGATACACAGCCCTCTAAGGTGCTGGCCTCAAATGTTACAATATATTTGTGTTCCCACTTTTTCTTTTTTTTTTTGGCAGGGAGCTGGGGAGGCAATCTCCCCCCCACCCCACCCCACCAGCAATAGAGAAAGAAAGAAAGAAAATCCATACCTGCTTGGTGGCAATTTCTTTGCTGTGACTTCTCCTTTGGGGTCCGCTTTGAATAAGCAGGAACAAAGGCTCAACCAGAACCTCAGTCCCCCTGAAGTTGTTGCCTCGGTGAAGACTGGAGCATTACCTTAATCTTTGGTTTGTTGCAGTGGTGAACACCTCGCCTGGGCAGAGGGCAGAGGCTGTGCTCCCGCGGGAGTTAAGCAGGGCTTGCTCTGCCCTCGTCTAGGTTATTTCCCAGGATGTGAGCCAATCTGGTCTCTCACCTACATTTCAGTCCAGGTCAGACGGAGGCTCTGAGTGGCCCCCATCTGGCACTCCTAAGTCCCAAGTCCAGAGTTCCAACTAGCAAATGAACCGATTACCGTATTTACTCTCATTACATGCCCCCACTTTTTTCTCTCCTGTCTTCACTGTAAAACGCTGGGGAAGGGGAGGAATGTTGCTAGTATCGCTTTGTCTAACTGGTTCTGTGCAAATTCATGCGTCTGGCCGTCTCTGTGCTGTGGCCTCCAGGGCAAAGTTAATTCAAACCTAGATCTCCTATCATGTCTTCATTTGTCTAAGCCACCTTCCTGGACAGTGTTACTTGACTGGATGATGAGCGAGGGCCAGCGTGTTTAGGTGAGAGGGGGCACGCAGGGAGAGAGGAAGAGGGAAGGATGAGGCGGCTGAGCCCATTGCCAGGGAGTGGGCACCCACAGCTCTAGCCTTAGCACTGACGGCTGACCTGGAGCCAGAGAATGGGTGCAGGGCTCTGTCCTCCTCCAGGCCTGCCAGGAACCAGCAGCCCCTCACTCCTCAGCCTGATCCTTCGTGTTCCCTGGGAGGAGCTTGATGGCTGTTAGAGCTCTCAAGGGAAAAGAATAGATAAAAGCCAAAAGCAGGGGGGTTTCACAGGTTATGTTTCTTCTACTTGCTTTTTTTAAAAGATGCTCTATGACAGGCATGGGGAGTGGACTAGGTCCATGCTTCTTGAGAATAGTAAAGCTGGTCTTGGGGGAAGGAAAAAGGGGAGGAGGAGGAGGAGGGGCAAGGGAAACTGATCAGTTAGATGGACAGGGATAAGAACTGGAGATTTCTCATGGTCTTCTTGGGAAAATTTGGACTTCCTCACACTTGTTTCTGATTTAAATTGTTTTTATCTTGAATTAGAAATTTTAATCAAGCCCTCCTGATAAGAAAAGCAAGAATAAGTATGGTTTTCTTGTTTTTGAGTTAAACTGGTTTCTTCTCTTCCCCTCAATTTTTCCCTCCTGGATGTGAGGAGGATTGGAATCTAGGGTCAACGTTTATCAAGTGATTGCTCACCTTGCTCTCCTCAACCAAATGCAGAAATAAGATGGTGCATGTGTCTCACTATTAGGGAGCTTCAGCCAGCAGTGGTGACTGGGACCCATGGCCATGCGACTCCTGTCTTTCAGTCCAGTCTTTCTGTCTATCCATAGGGGATTCTGCTAGGGCTGGGGAGCATTGGATTATAAATCCCACTGGTTGGCAGGTTGACTTGGGCCTTGGACAAGGAGGACCTAGAAGAGGTGAGATACTGGCTTGGGCTGCCAAAGGAAGCAGCCTGTCTAGGGTGCCCTGGTGACACCCCCAGTACTTGTAAAGCTATGACCAACAGGCCATGACCAAAGCCGGTGGTGGGGAGGTGGAAAAGGGTTAGGAACTCACTCCAGGAAACCTTTATTTCCAAGATTAAAAGTAGGCCTTTCTGGGAGCACAGAGGATTTGTAAGGCAGGAAAACATTCTTGTATGATACTAAATGGTGGATACATGTCATCAAACAAACATTAATCCAAACCCATAGAATGGGCACCACCAAGAGTGAACTCTAATGTAAACTATGGCCTTTGAGGGATTGTGATGTGTCAGTGTTGGTTCATTGATTGCAACAAATGTACCATTCTGCTGGGCGATGTTGATAACAGGCAAGCTATGAGGCTGAGCATGTGCAGGGTCAGAGAGCATATGGGGACTGCGTGTACCTTCCTCTCCATTTTTCTCTGAACCCATAACCACTCTAAAAAAAAAAAAAAGTAGATCTTTTTGTAAAGATCGGCATTTCTGTGTCTAGGGGTGGAAAAAAAGGGGGCAGGATCCCAGCTCAGGTGGGGCAGCTTGCCAGAAGTCCTTGGGTTGTGGGCAAAATACGTGGCTTTCATCATCTCTCAAATCTCTCCTGGCTCGCAAGTGCCTGGTCGCAGCTCGCTTATAAAAAGGGTGAATTATTTACAGCAGGTCCTAACATCACCGAGGCAAAGAAACCATTCTCCGGTTTCTGCAGGGATCTTTTGGGGCTCTCGCGAGCTCGTGGCCGAGCAGGCAGGAAGAAGGCTATGGGACAGCTGGGCCTCTGCCGTCCGCAAGCACGGCCTCCACAACAGGCCTTGCTCGAAGCTAAGAAAACCGCCAGAAAAGACACAGTAGTTGTTTTTTTTTTAATTATGTTAATCACCATACATTACATCATTAATTTTTGATGTAGTGATCCACGATACATTGTTTTCGTATAACACCCAGTGCTCCATGCAGTACGTGCCCTCCTTAATACCCATCACCGGGCTAA